CAGAATCATTTATTAAAATCATAGAATGTGCCCATACTCCTTCAGTTCTAAGATGTAAAAATATGCCTAAATCCTCTTTAGTAATTTGTACTCTTTGGTGGAAGACATATGAGGACATTATGGTGTAATTCTATCTACTTTTCATATTGGTAAGAAAATAATAAAAAGTATCAAAGTAAAATGTGTAAATCAATGTGAGAATGAAAGAAAATAGAGTGGAGTCAAAAAGAGGAAAAGAGGCATAATTAAAAAATTGATGTCTTCTTGAATAAGATGATAAGACTGAGTATTTTTTTCTTGAACAAAATGATCATAGACTTGTTCATTCTTTCTTGAAAGAAAGTTATCATCTTGTTCAGTACGAGATGAACTTCCTTTGGAGTGACATACCCATTTGCTGCTGCTTGCAATTTGAATAGGATTGAACACAAGAGAATCTGAATGTGAAAGAGTTTATGAACAAATTTAAGGAACAAATTCCAATTTATAGGAATCGAATAATTTCATACAATATGAAATTTGATTCATACATATGACTTTGAACTTGGTATAGTACAAATAAAATTTTGTACATATGAATATAAATTGTCAAGGATACTTATTGCAGCGAAATAACATTTCATTAAATTACCTTTCCAATGAGTCATTTCGTACGACCCTTGATCAAAATTGATCGTATTGATGAACATGTGTTCATCTGGGATGATTATCGAACAATAACTGCCTTAAACCCTAAATGAATTCATTATGAAGCATTTTGACATGTGCTCATACAAATTAATTATTGATGATTTGTACAAATGATGAAGTGTTCGTACTATATGATTATTATGAAAAGTTATCCAAAAATTTATTTGTCCAACTCAAAAAAGAGATCATGAAAAATCTAGAGAATTCATATAGTCCGGAAGTGGTTCGTACAGTACGAATGGAAATAGAATTTTGGATTTGCACATGATGATCAATATACTTTTCTAAAATAAGCCAAATAAAAACCATTAAACAAAAAAAATAATAACAATAAAAGGATAAATTAGAGATAAAAAAGGATTATAAAATAAGACAAACTAAAAAAAGAAAACAAAATACAATCATAAACACAAGAAAAGAAAAGAAAATACATATTCGCATTTTACAGACTTACAAATTTTCAAGTATGAATATCAATAACACCCAATCTGGTTCTTAATATACTAAAAGCTTCAAAAACTATTGGTTTGATAAAAATATCTGCAAGTTGATTTCCAGTAGCTACATGATGTAGCTCAATTTCTCCATTGGTGACATGGTCCCTAATGAAGTGATGTCTTATGTCTATATGCTTAATTCTGGAGTGTTCGATTAGATTCTTTAAAATGCAAATATCACTTGTATTATCATAGAAGATTGAAATAGTGCCAATTAATAAACCTAAATCCATATGTTGTTTTTTTAATTAAAGTATATGTACCACATAACTTTCTAAGGCTATATATTCTGCTTCAGCAATAGAAAGTGCTTCTAAGTTATATTTTTTCTTAGATCAAGAAACTAAAGAGTTTCCTATGAATTGATAAGTTCCATAATAACTTTTTATATCAACCCTACATACTATAAAATCTGAATTAGAATACTAATAATTTCAAAATAAGTGTTGTGCTTAGGATATCAAATTCCTAAGTGTTGAGCTCTTAAAAATATTTAAAAACTCTTTTAATAATAGTCAATTGAGATTCTTTAATATTAGCTTAAAATCTAGGAAAAAGACAAATACTAAATATGATATCAGGTATACTAGTAGTTAAATAAAGTAATGATCTTGTTATCCCTCTAAATTTATTTTATTCAACAGATTTGCCTTTAGAGTCTTTATCTAACTGAACTGAGGAACTCAAAGGAGTAATTATTGGTTTAACTTTATCCATTTCATACTTTTTATGGATGTCCTTAATGTATTTTGATTGACTAAGAAAGGTGTCATCCTCTTTCTTCTTTATGCTAAAACAAATAAAGTAACTGAAATCTCCTATCAAACTTATTTCAAATTTCTTGCTCATTATTTTTGAGAAGTAATCATAAAGATTTTTATTAGAGGATCCAAATAAGATATCATCAATATAAAAATTTGAACAATGAGATTGTCATCTCCTACTCTTTTTATGAAGAAAGTGGTGTCCACACTCCCTTTAACAAAAGATCTTTCTATTAAGAATGTGCTTAGCCTTTCATACCATATCCTAGGTGTCTATTTTAGTCCAAACAATGCCTTCTTCAATTTAAAAATATGATTAGGAAATTGTGAATTTTTAGAATATGGAGTTTCTCAACATAAATATCCTATTTTATCAACCTATTAAGAAAGGCACTTTTAACATTCATTTGAAATAATTTAAATCTTTTTAAAACAAGCAAAGTCTAAAAGCACCCTTATTGCTTCAAGTCTGGCTACAAGGACAAAAATCTTCTCAAAATTAATTTCTTCTATTTGATTGTATTTCTTGACTACCAATCTTTCTTTATTTCTAACCACTACACCTAAATTATTCATCTTATTTTTAAAAATCCAATTAGTTCTAAGAACACTTTATTTTTTAGCTATTTCTACTAGCTCCCAAATATCATTTCTAATAAATTGATTCAACTCTTCTTATATAGCTAGAATGAAAAAATATTTTTTTGAAGAGAGAGAACATCCGTCTTTTATGCAGTAAGAGAGAAGTTCGCCTGTTTTTCAAATTTTCGTTCATGGCGGGTAAACAGCTGTTGATGGAAGAGGCGGCAGCCTTCGCCGCTGATCGTCGGATTCCTCTCGGCGACCCTCCCGGAGCTCCTGGCCATCCTCAAGTATCTTTCAATTATTTGAAATCGGGACCGATCAGATTTTATGAGTCATCATTTGATGTTTTGAAGAAATCGCCTCTAGTTTTTGGGAAAGGAAAAGAAAAAGTAATACCATATGATGCACCTAAGCTTCAACATTCTCCAAAGCATTTGATCAAAGAAATAGAAATGTCATCTTCTTCAAAAATGAAAATATTTGTTAACAGGTTTGGCGGCAACAATTCTAAACCTCTGTTCATGGAAGAGGGGATTTCATTTGCTCAGAAACTAGTGGGAAACAATCAAGATGTTTGTGACAATGTCGTAAAGGATGGCAATTCACTGCTTGCTAACAACAATATTGGAATTAGTACCAATATCTCGGGGAGAAAACCAAATATCAAAGTTAAATTTTCTAGAGATGACTCCTTAATAACAGAGGATAGGAAATCTATCAAGTTAAATGAATCCAGTATGAAGATCAAAGCCGAAAAACTACAATCCTCTATTGTAGTGAAGGTCTTCAGAAACAAGGCTCCTATTGTTGTAATAGCAAGAGAACTACGCCGACAATGGAATTTATTTGGTAAATTCCATATTCCTCATTGGGTCTTGGTTGTATTCTTTGCTCTTTTTTTGAAGAAGGTGCTACTGAAAACGTTCTAGAAGGAGGACCTTGGTATGTCAACGGCCACATCGTGGGGATGGATAGATGGTCCCATTTATTCACACCTTCATCCTTAAAAGGCCTCTCCTCACCGATTTGGGTAAGGCTTCCTCACCTGCCTTCGATTTGTTAGGACGAAGACAATGTGGCCAGAATTGCTTTTATGATTGGACAACCACTATGGATAGATAGAAATATGTTCCAGTGGAGTAAAAGGGAGTTTGCAAGAGTTTGTATCAGAATGGATCTAGATCAACAATTCCCTACAGGTGTTTGGGTAGAAAGATCTTACGGTCGTTTCTTTCAAAAAGTCTAATATGAGAAGGTTTCCATATTCTGCTTCAAATGTGGGAAGGTAGGACATTTGATAGATAAATGTATTGAAGGGAACCCTGCCAATCTTGAAGGACAAACTTCTAAAATGGGTCCTCACTGTGAAAATCAATTACCAACGAAAGGATTGGCAGCTGATAAAGATTATGGTCCTTGGATCCTTGTTAAGAATACAATGAGAAGGAGGAGGACTGGTTCTAACATTGGAAAAGAAACCTATGTAGCTCCTAATTCGAAAACTATTAAACAGATTTATGTCCAAAAAATTCCCACAAGTACTGATCTGGTAAATCCAATTCTAGAAAAATCTGTTAACAGAGGAAAGGAAGGGTGTGCCTTACAGAGTATAGATGCTGAATTCTCTAAAGATATGGAAGAATCAAGGTTAGAAGATAATTCAAAAGGTCCTAGCTGGACTGAAACTTTTACAGTTAAAGACATTCCAGACTTGGAAATGCCTGTCTCAAATTCATACTCAATCGATCCCAACTCAGTCAGAGAAGAAAATAAAGGCTTTGACATAGAGAATGGAACACTCGAAGAAGGGGAAATTCCTGATCAAAGGATGGAAAGATTAGTTGCTGCTAAATAATTGGAGTTGACAGACTCTTCAAAAGCTAAAGGGAAATTAATCAAAGAACTCATTTCCTTGGGTAAAGATAACATTCTTTCTCAGAAAAGGGAAAGTGAAAACTCTAAGAAGATTAAAAGTGGAATTTATTCCACTTTTAAAGCCAAATGACGTCTATAGCTTTCTGGAATTGTAGGGGAGCTAGAAATTCAGAAGCTTCCTGGTATATAAAGGAATTTGTTAAGGACTATAATTCCTTTTTTGTGGGGCTTGTTGAAACAAAGGTTGTTTCTTTTGATAGACTTGAAGTCAGTAAACTAATTGGAGATAATTGGGAATTTTTCTATGTCCCAGCCGAAGGTCTCTCAGGCGGTATTCTAATCAGCTGGAAGAGAAATTTTTGTTCTTTTACTGTTATGCATTCTTCTTCTCAAGCAGTGATTGGATTGGTTGATATCAACTATATATGGCAGCAGAGATAATTATGAAAGAAGAAGACTTTGGGAAATTCTAAAGGCTCATTCAAATAATCAACTCCCTTCTATCTTAGGAGGTGACTTTAATTGTTTATTATCTCAAGAGGAGAAAAGGGGAGGAAAGAAGTTTTCTTTCTCCCAAGGACCTCAAGACATGAATGCTTTCATGAATAACTGTGATTTTCATGACGTGGGTTTTATAAGACCCAAATTCACTTGGTGTAACAATAAGCAAGGCGGAGCTCGTATTCTAGAAAGGTTAGATCGTTACCTTATCAACTCAGAAGCTTTGAAGAGCATTCAACCAGCACTTGTTCATCACCTTGGGAGAATTGCTTCGGATCACTGTCCATTAATTCTCAACATTTTAAATTCTGGATTCAGAAAACAGAAAAAACTGCAGTTCGAGGATATTTGGGCTTCATTTCCAGCTTCCAAAGCCATAGTTTCGAAAACCTGGAGGAAATCAGTCAGAGGAGATGATGTTCAAGTTTTGAATACTAAATTTAGAAGAGTTCTTAAGGCTCTTTTTCACTGGAGTAGATCGAAGCACTCTAATCTCAACTCTCTTAAAAAAGAACTAAAGAAGGATATCATTGAGCTACAAGAAGAAGAAGCTAATTCAGGGGGATTATCTGAAGATAAAATCTGCTTGCTGAAATTTAAGGTAAAAGAGCTTAATTCCAGCTTAGGAAGATTATCTTCTTGGTGGAAACAGAGAGCAAAGGTCAAATGGATCAAGGATGGAGATTCTAATACAGAATATTTTTATTCTGTGGCTTCAACCAGACAAAGATTGAATTTCATCAATCAAATTAGAAATTTGAAAGGGTGGTTGAGTGAAGAACCAGAATGCATTGAAGACACCTTTTGAAGTACTTCAAAATGAAATGGAGAATGAGGAATTGCAAGTTGACTGGATGGCCTGTACCGAGCAAAATTCTGGAAAAGCTGAAATTAATTCGTTGGAGGCTAATTTCTCTATTACAGAACTAGAAGCAGTTTTCCAACAAGTTGAAGGTAATATTTCTCCTGGTCTTGATGGAATTACTCTTTCTTTTATCAAACTTTATTGGAAATTCATTAAAGAGGACATTTGGAAAGCAGTTTATCAATTCTTACATTCCGGTCTCATGTGTGATCTTTGGAAGGAAACTGTTGTTATCCTTATTACAAAGATTAAAAACCTTGTAAATCTGTCTAATTATAGACCGATTAGTCTTTGTAACTCCATCTATAAAATTTTAGCTAGAATCTTGTTAAATAGATTAATTGCTGCATTCCTAATATCATATCTGAAAATCAAGTTGCTTTCATCAAAGGTAGATCCATTTCGGATAATATTCTCTTATCCCAAGAAATCATCAACAAATTTAGATTCTCTAAATCTAAAAAATGTTTAATGGCCATCAAAGTGGATATGGAGCAAGCCTATGATAGCATGGGTTGGCAAACTTTGGAGCAAGTACTTCACATCTATGGGTTCCCAGATAAATTTTCAAAGCTCCTACTTCAATGTGTAGTTGACACTAAATATACCATCAATATAAATGGGACTAATACTGAATGGATATGGGCTAAATGTGGCTTTAGGCAAGGATGCCCACCATCACCTTTTCTGTTTATCTTGTGCTCACAACTGTTAACAGAAGAGTTCAAACAAAGGGGTCCAAAAATTGGACTTAAAGTTTCACCAAATGCAGAAAAAGTTTCTCTCCTTCAATATGCTGATGATATAATTGTATTTTATATAGCTTATTATAGGAATGCTAAGAAAATCAATAAAATTATGAAAAGTTACTGCAGCTGGACGGGGCAAAGGCTTAATGTATCCAAATCTTCTTTACTCCTTAGTAAGTCTGTAGGGAGGAGCAACGGGAAGAAGCTGTCAAAAATTTTGGGCATCAGAATTGTAAAAGAGCTGCACTATCTTGGCGTTAAAATGGCATTGAGGAGACTTAAAGGATCAGATTATATTGAATTACTGGGGAAAGCTTATGACAAGCTCAATATATGGGGAAATCGGTTCCTTAATCTTACTGGTAAGATTCAACTCATCAAATCTGCATTCTTGTCTTTGCCAACGTTTCTTTCAACACATTCGTTGATACCGTTGGGAGTACTCAATGATTTAGATAAATTGAGTAGAGAATTCTTATGGAGAAAATAAGATAAAAGCCAAGGCTTGCATTATGTGGAATGGGAAATTCTTTGTAGAAGCAAAAAATATGGTGGACTAGGTATAAATTCTGCAGTGTATAAAATTAACAATTGGAGGGCTAAATTTGCTTGGAAGCTCATCTCAAATCCTACATCCCTTTTGAATAGAATTCTTATTGCTAAATACGGTTCAAATATTTGGGATTATGATCATAAATATGGAGAATCTTCTACTTAGAAGATCATTATCAAAGGAGCTAAATCTCTACAGAAAATTCTGAGATGGAAGGTGAAGGAAAGAATTTTCATCAACACTTCAAAGGATGTGTGGATCCTTGATAAAAGCATTGAAAAGTGGCCTACCTATACAACAAATCTGTAGGAAGAACAAGAATGTGTACATCATTTCATTAAGGAGGGAAATTAGGATGTTGTAAAGCTAAGGCAAGCTTTTGGTCCGGAATTGGTAGAACTCATTTGTTCTGTTCCGATACAGAGCAGAATTTTGAAAGATGAAGTTGAAATTACGGTTAAACACTCTGGGAAATCCTTGTCTTTTTTAATTTCAAATAAAAAATTTAGCAATGCAGAGGAGAATACCAATTGGAAATGGCTAGAAAAATTGAAATTAAGACCAAGGATAGATCTTTTTTGGTGGAGATTGTTGAACAAAGCCTTACCAAGTAATGAGTTTTTGATGTATAGAAGACTCATTAACTACAACGGCTGTCCTAGAGGATGTAATCAAATTGAAGATGGCAATCATATAGCAGTGGAATGCAACTTTATTAACGGTGTGCTGAAGGTTTTGAGAAGCTGGGGTTTTAATATACCAAATTTCAATGATCTAAATTGTTGCATTACTGAACTGAAGAAAATTTCATGTTCTAATATTTTTTTGGGAAATCTATATTGCTCGGTCATCTTTCATTCCTGGAATAGCAGGAATAAACTAGTCCACGGTGATAAAGAGGATGGTTTCAACACTGTAGCAGCAAAAGAAATATCTTTCACATCATCATCAATCAATTATGATCTTATCACGGTCAACTGGGGTTCTAATCAGCTTAGGCTATTTTCTCATGTTTGGAATCCCCCTCCAACCGATTGGATCAATTTAAATGTGGTTGCTTCTATCAGCAATAACAATTCTGCAGGTATTGGATGAATTCTAAGAGATAGCAAAGGTAGATTCCTATTTGTGTTTGGGTTCAAACGTGTGCATTGGGATAGTTCTTCTCTAAAACTAGAAGCGGTTTTATCCTTCAATAGAGTTCTTCAAGAGTGGATGTTTGAAGCTATTGGAATCATTATAGAAGGAGACAATTATAATGTCTTAAAATTCATTCAAAAGTCAATCAAGGAAGGAGTGCAAGGAGGTAACAACATTTGCTCCGAAGACTTCTTTTTTCTTAGGAAGTTTAATCAAGTTATTATTCAATTTGTTAATAGAGGTTGTAATAAGTTAGCCGATTGCTGTGCTAACTATGCTAGAAATAATGAATTTGTTTGGGATAGTTTGGATATAAATCACATTCCTCCTAATTTCTTTAAAATTCTAAAGAAGGAATGTGAATTATCCAAATTCACTTAGTTTTTTCCTTTCTTTTTGGTTTATTAATAATAGTGCTATATGCAGTTTCTCAAAAAAAAAAAAAAAACTAGAATGAAAAAATCATCGAAAAGTATTTGATTTATATTAGTGGGTTCAATCATTAAAATAAATACTGAGTTATTTACTTCTTTGCTAAGTCCATTCCTAGTTCTAAAACCTTTACTCGGGTCTCCTAAAATCAGTTCTTTAGGATGGCTTTTAGAATATTTCCATTCTCTTGGCAATATATTTTATGTTCCAACCCTTTCTTCAAAATTTATATTTTCAATTCCTTGGATAATCTCTACAATATCTTCTTCATCTAACCTAGACTCTCCAAAAATATTAGATTCATCAAAAATTATATGAGTGGTCTCCTCTACTACCGAAGTCCTTTTGTTAAAAACTCTATAGGAATTGCCAATAGTTGAATATCCTAGAAAAATTCCCTCATTAGATTTAGGATCAAATTTTTCTAAAAGAATTTTGTCATTTTTATGAATGAACACTTAATATCCAAAGACATATAGATGTGAGAGGTTAAGTGTCCTACCCTTAAGAAGTTCATAGGGTGTCTTATTTAACTTAGATCTAATGTTTACCCTATTTAGAACATAACAGGATGTATTAACTACTTCAGCCCAAAAATATTTAGGAAGTGAATATTTAACCAACATGGCTTTAGTGACTTCTACTAAAGTTCTGTTCTTTCATTGAATAAGCTTATTTTGTTAAGGGATCCTAAGAGCTAAAAAGTTGTGATATATCCCTTGCTCTTCACAAAAAACTTTAAAATTTTATTTTTAAATTCTCCACCATGGTCACTATGAATTATAAGAATTTCATAACCTAGCTTCCTCTGAATCCAAGTAGAAATATTTTTAAACTCATCAAATGTTTCACTCTTATGTGATAAGAATCTAATCCAAATATACCTAGAATAATCATCAATAATCACAAACCTAAAATCTTTCCCTCTTAGACTTACATTGCTAACAGGTCCAAAGAGATCTATATGATGGACTTGAATTATTTCATTAATTGATATCCATCACACAGGTGATCCTTAGTGAAGTCTAAGTTAGGTATAGCTCTATTCAATTAAATTTGGATAATCTTCCTAAGATTTTTCATGCTTGCATGACAAAGTCTTTAATATCATAACCAAGATTCATCAGCAATAGTTTTTAGTCAAAAAACATCAAAAGATTTAAAAAAATTTAAATCAAGCATATAAACATTATTTAGTCTATCTCTATACAACACATCAACTCCAATTTGGCTTATAATGCAGCTTGTAGGCAAAAGTATTATGTTGAAACCTTATCATAAAGTTGACTAATACTTAGCAAGTTATGTTTAAAGCTTTTTACCAATAAAAATTTTTCAATCATAAAATTCTTCGTGTTACCAATCATACATGAACCTACCACTCTCCTAGTGGTGTTATCTTCAAGTGTCACTTTGCTTCCAATCCTGGCCTCCAGCGATATAAATTAATTTGCATCTCTAGTTATATATTTTAAAAATCCATTGTTTAGGTACCAAATGCTCTCACAAGGGCTTATATGAGAGTGTTTCTATAAAATTATCAAATATTAGTCTTGGAAACAAAAATAAATTTGTGTTCACCTCTTGGCAATGATAATCTAGGTGTATGCTTGATATACTGTGATTAATGCATCTTAGGTCTCCATACTAAATAAGTTCTATTATGAATAGTGCAAGCATGGGAAATATGACCCAACATACCACATGAAAAACATTTAACACTAAGAAAATGATTTACTAATCTATGTGAAGTATAATATATTTTCCTAGGTTTTAAACTTGTATGCTTTTGGCTAGGATTAATAAATTATTCATGTGCGGGAGTTGACTTATTTTCCTTAAAATCTTTTAATTTTATTTGAAGATATGAGTTTGCACTTTCAAAAATCAAATTTTTAATCTTCACATCATGTTCCCTTTGATTAGATTCATCCATAAATTCTTTAAAACCATTTTCAAGCTCAATATAAGATATTTTCAAAAGTTCATGCTTCTTATTCAAATCATCAAATTCATTTAACAAAGCCATGCGATTATTATCTATGTCTATATGATCATTCCTAAGATTT